AAAGATCATTTCAAAACCGACCTCAGTAAAATCTTAATAATATTAATGATAATTTAAAAAAACGAGTTTCAAAAGGGCATTTTCTTTGATAAAGGGCAAACTTCCTAGTGCTTTAGCACCACCTAGTGTCTATGTATGCACGCCCCTGACCCTAACCCTAAGATATAAAACAGCAAGCAACGTAGTTAGAGACATGAATAAGTGATTATTGCACTCTTTTTCCCAGTTTTACGTCCGTCCGCGGATCTGCTTTTTTTTCTTCTGTCTGCCAGCGCATGCGCACTGATGCGTACGAAATAGTGTGCATAACTTTTCGTATACGATTTCATACGAACTGATAATGAGAATATGTTGGGAGGATGGGTAATATATATATATAACTAAACAGTTATCTTGGTTTCCGTGCTCGGATCGATCTCGGCACGGTTTCAAAAGGTTAGTGTAAACAGAGCTGCAGTTCCAACTATATATCTTGTTTTAATTAGCACAGTAGCAGCCATTCAAAATGGCCCTTCCCAGTGAAAAGCCAGCTGAATGGCAGCCTACTCCCCTGCGACTCCCAGCAGAATCCCCTCCAACTAACAGCCACTGGTCTTCTCCTGGGCGTGCATTTTTTCTTACTCTGACTCCACCCTTTCACTGAATTACAGGATCTGACCAGATAAAGCTTCTCTTTAGATCTTAATGTCCACAAATCATGACAGAAAGAATATTTTAGTACAAAGATTGATGTTTAAAAGGGAATTTTAGGGAGACAGCCAAAAACCCATCTAGGAAAGTGGGGGATTTTGAATGGCTACTGTATGAATGCACTCTGAGGATCATAGGATGACCTGGTTCTAATACTTCCTGAATAGGTTGGGGAATAAAAGTTAACTTAGAAGACAAACTTAGAAAGTTACGCTGATTCCAGGCAGTATATTCAGGAAAATTAGCCCCCTGTTGCAGGAGGTAAAGGCAACAGATGGTTTAGATAAAGGACTGTTTCTAGATCAGACGTCTGCAACCTTTTATATAAACAAGCAGCTTCCTCTGGTCGCCTGTCCTCCGTATTCCAACAGAAAACACTTTATGTATTCTGCATGACGATAAATCCAAACTTCACCCCAGAATCCAAAGAAAAAATAAAAAGTGCTGCTCGTCCTCTGGCCTGGGTAAGAACAGCAGAGCATCGCTGGACGTCTCTCTCTCTGCTCCGTTCTCTTCTTTCTTTTTTCTGCTGTTAAAAAAACAAAATTCCACTCCAGTGACTTGAAGCTATTTTTTCTTTTATTTTGTACAAGAAATATGTGTATAAAAATAAATCAAGATTGTAAAAAAAAAATATCTGTTCATCCTCTAAACATTCATCAGCACCCCCCCCCCCCAGCAGCAATTGCTGTTTAGAGATCAAACTGAAATGCAAAGCAGACCATTAAAGCAAACAGGCCTGCTAAGTAGGAGGAGAGTCATAGTAATACTGCAGAAAGCCTCATCATAGAACGTTATAACACATTTCAGAGCCCAGAGAAAAATCCTTCCTGGCGTAGCTTTCCTCCACAGGTGGGATGTAGGGATAGTCTGTGGGGGTGTAATAAGGGGTGTATTCAGGGACAGGGATGCTCTCCTGCTGGGCCGGCCAGCAGCCCGGCATAAAGTCCTGATGGGAGCCGCATTGCTGGTAGGAGTAGTTTTCCAAGGGGAAGCTGTGGAAGCTGGACTCCATCCTAGTAGGCGAGTCGTAGCAAGATGAGGAGGAAGAAGAGAAGGAGTCCTGTGGGGAGTAGCTGTTGGGATCCAGGGGGTTGCAGAGCGTCAGGGACTCGGATGAGGAGTAGGCAGCCTGAAAGAGAGGGACAGCGCTCAGATGCAAAGGATTTCCTCCAGCAGGACCGTTATGGAAAGAACTCAGTCAGAAGGACACCAGCAGGCGCTGCGGTGTAAATATCTGTTCTTCACTGGAATCAGTCTTCATTGGAGAGACAGTTTAAGTGAGTTAAATGAAACTCAGTTTAGGGAAATAGTTTTTGTCCCAGTGTAAATTAGCATAAAATTCACCCCAACAGTGACCAATCGCCCTCATTTTGGTTAATTAACTCAGTTTATTCGTCAACTACTTAAAAATAATAATGAAACCGCTTTTGGCATTTACTAAATCATATTTAGTTACTTTAAGACAATTGTTTTATATCCTACCCTGCTAACATGAAACAATTGTGTTAAAGTAATAAATATGATTAAGTAAATGGCAAAAATAGTTGCATTACTTTTTTTATTTTAGGTTTCCATTTAGTTGTAACTATGTTAAAAGATGGTTAAAAGGTGAAAGAATTAATAGATGCAAAGAGTTCTGCTAAAATCTCAAAAAGTTTCATGTCTCAGTTTAGAGCATTTAGGAAAAGGTCAGTCCCAGAAAATAATGATACTTATATTAATCATATATTAATTTCCTAATATTGGTTGAAATTTAGTTTGATTGACATTTTACTGTTCTTTGTATCATAAATTGTTGTTGGATGGTTTTCTTTTGTTTGGTTTTTTGTGACGTCTGTAGACAAAAAAGAGGAAAATGTGAACTTTTTGCATTATATATATAAAATCTCATTTACTTTCTCATTCAAAGACTGGGAAAATAAACTAACTGATGTTTTACTTTTTTATTTGATATCTTCATTTGTTTATTGGACTGTTAAAGATAATTTTCTATTATATTAAAGTAAGAAAAAATAAAGTGTTTAGATGGAGAAAGAGGCTGAGACTCACCATTCCCTGGCCGTAGTAGTCCACATCGGAGGACAGAGCGTGGTTCCAGGGCAGAGGGGAGGAGGTGGGAAGGGAGGCCATGGGGGAGCTGTAGTCCATGCCTCCTCTGGGGCTGAAGCTGTAGCCGTTGCTGGGCAGCATCACGTCTCCAAACTGCTGCTGCTGCTGGGGGTCGCCGAAAACAGCCGCCTGCACGTGCATGCTGCACGAGCTGTCAGGGGCAGAGAAGGAGGGCGCGCACAGCTGCAGGGCTCGCGAGCCCATCTCTGCCAAAGGGGCTGAAAGAGGAGGCTCCTCCTGGCGACCTGAAGGGATCAGATTTAAAAGTCATATCAGAGCCGCGCTGATGGCGAACAGTCTAAAGACTGGTTTCTAAATGGACTCCATTTATTTTATACATTTTTTTTTTCTTAAGGGAGATTAAGTGTCTTCAGGGCAACATGCGCGCGCGCTGCTCAGACCTCATTGGGTCTTTAAATTTAGAGCGATGAGTGGAGAGCTGCAGGTCGGAAATAATTGACAGCCTCTGCATTCCAAGCAGCCTGAGTTTAAGGGCTGGTTATGCTCCTGCAGCAGTGAGCGAGGTGCTCCAGCTCTGCGGGGTCAGGGGCAGGTTCCTACCTGCAGCAGCGGGGAATGCAGCGCGCTGCATGGCTTTATTCCAGCTGCGCTGCAGTCTTTATCTCATGGCGCAGATTTTAGAGAGTTCGCAAAATAAAACCCCTAAAAAAGATCTAATAAATCAACGAATGAATGATTTTATGAATAAATGGTTAGACTTTCTCACTTACTTGGAGGGGTGGGCATGCAAGGCTCTTTTTGTTCCAAGTAAACCTGGAGAAGCAGTCAGTCCCAGAGAGGATGAATCATGAGAGGGAGGAAAGAAAGCGGGATAGTTAGAACTTTGGTTTGTAAAAGAGCAAATTTATTCCTGTTAAAAATAAATAAACAGACTTTAACACTTGATTTTTTTGCCGCAAGAAGAGCAATGGGTTATTTATTGGTGATTGCTGTGCAGGGGTCGCAGAAAGGGAAGGTGGGGCTGGGAGTGTTTACCGTTTGGAGCTTCTTACTGCTGGCCTCCCGGGCTCGGTGTCTCTGCAGCAGCTCTTTCACTGTGGTCTTTACCCGGACGCCCTGGTACACCCTTGGCTTTTCTGCACAAAAAGACCAACTGTTTACCAAACAGTCCCCCCCACAGAACACATACCTCTCACCCCACCTCACCCCCAAGGAGAGTTTCCCTTCTTCCCATCCGATTAAATAAATGCATCACCTTAAATCTGTGGTTTAACAACATGTTTGTTCGATATATACATAATTTAATAAATATTTTTCTGCTTTAAAATGTGAACTTTTCTGTGTGTAAAAAGCGCAGTTAATGCGCACTTTAGCCGCAGAACCCCCCTCCGCTCTCCCGACTCTTTTTCTTCCCCCATCCGCCTCAGACTGAGGCGCTTTTCCAACCGTTCAAATCCCCGCAGCGCGCAGACCAGGAAGAAAGCAAAGGAATAGAAATCGGCACAAAATGCTGCAACAGTAAGTTTTTGGGGTTTTTTACCATAAAAGCGAGCAGAATATATATTCTTGATATAAAAAACACCATTTGTGGTTTAAAAGCTCCTCCGATTCGTTTGGTTAAACTCATATAAACAAAATTAGATGAGCGCCAGGAAAGCGATCAATCGAGAAAACAAAGGAAAATACTATGAATGCGGGATTGTGCGCCGAGGAGTTAAAAAGCGTTTTAACGCGGATTTATAAAAGTACTTTGATAGTTTTATGATTTTCTCTGTGATTCTAATGCGATCAGATTTTGTGTTGTGGGAAATTTTGCAGCTACTTCACGTCGGGATTGTTTTCCAACCAATACCCTCCTCAAAACTCTTCTCCAATCTCTGTTATTTTATTCAAATCACCCCTGCCCCCCTTTTTGAATGCGTGACAGTGTTAACCTGCGGCGTTTGCATACCGGGTTATTTGCAGATTTTAAAAAAATAATAAATTTAATAAGTAGGGAAAATTAATAAAAGCTTGTTCTAAAGCATAAAGGTACACGTGTGTGCGTAATTTGGCCCCTGAAGGCGCAATTTAATGAACTCTGGAATGGCGAGGAGATTTGATAAGACAAGAAAGGATCGGTTGCAAAACCTCCTCTGATAAATATTCATATAGTTAAATGCTTCTGTTGATTTGTTTTAAATGTGGGGAAATAATGGACTAAAACGACACGCAGACACATCCCACTCAAACGCCCTGTTACGCACAAGCTGTCCGGGCAGAGCGCCTAAGTCTTAAATCTTAGCTCCACTGGCAAATCATCATGATCCAAAATGTGAGCACAAAAAAAAAAAATGCACATCTACATGTGAATTGCTTCAACTAACGCTCAGAATAATCTAAACGTCGTGTATATTAATAAAAGTCGGTAAAACTGTCATGTGCTTAAAGACATTCAGGCTGTATTTCAGAAGGAGGCAGGTGGAAGGTTAGAATATAACCAAGGAGGCTTAATAAAACTATTCAGACCTTCAGCAATAATTGTAAAAGTGCAAATAAATAAGCTTATAAATGCTTATAAAACCCTCTGCGTTTTCTTCTGCCTTAAAATGTTGCTTATTTTACTTTTTTTTTTAAGTTCTATTTCCAAAGCCAAGATTAACATTTTTTTCTTTTCTTTTTTTAACAGGACAAAAGGCAAACAAAATCGAATCCCCAGATAAAAAAAACAAACTCAAGGTCCAACTTACCAGACATGATGACTGAGATGAGGAAAGGTTCCCTGGAGAAGACCTTTGGATCTCAACAACGTTCTGCTCTGCTTCAGCAAAATGGCCAAGAACGAAATTTCTACAAAAGTCTCCAAAAACAACAAGTCAAATGTATTCCAGCGGGGTCAGAGCATAGAACAATATTGTAATAAAGCTGGGGACATATTAGTTTGAGATTTTCTCTCTCCATCCCTACTATTTAAAACCCCTAGAACTCAATGATTTGACAATGATTTGATTGCGCGTTACTTACAATTTGAATATTCAGAAGCAACGCTCTCAAATCGATTTTTCAATAAAAATAACAACGCAAGGACTTTTTAAAAGCCCTACTGTAATATAATATGTTAGTGTTTTATACTTTGGATGGAAAAAAGTACACTTTTATCAATTTTAAGCTCCTTTTGACACATCAGAGCACCCGAGCCCCTTATTGCACACATAACCTCTGGATGCTGCTTTTTGCGCACTTTTAAAAGCTACTTTCACTCAAAATCTCATCTCACATGACCAGAGATGCATTATAGACACTATAAATGTGGGGAAATTTAATTTTAATTTTTGGGGGGAAAGAAAAACGCATAAATATGGGATAGAAGGGGGCGTGGCATAGAGCAGCAGCCATCTTTGGCTTCGCAGGCCTTGAGCTGCTGCAGCAAGTGGTCTCAGTGTTCTCACCTGCTGCAGGGGGATACTCAGCTGCTCTGTCCTTCTATAAATCTAATCATTTCCAGTTTTCCTTTTACATCAAATAATAATTATTATTATTTTGCATTTAATGTAGAAACTACAGCACTCCTCTTTTTTTATTTTGCAACAGTCTGGCTCCCAGATCACACAACAAATTTAAAATCGAAATGTTGATCCAATAAAAACCGCATATAAATAATAATAAACTGCCTGGATTTAGATAAATCAATATTTCTTTTTTAATCTATTTAATGTGAATGTTTTCAATATGCTCAGAATGTTGTTAATATTTATATTCATACGAATAATATGATTGCGTTATGATGTTTTAGTTCTTTTTAATAATTACCTAAATTCCTCAAGATGCACAAAATTTAACTGAGGTTAATTATAAGTAGTAGATATTTTAATCTAAATGGATTTTATAATAGAAATCTTATTAATATCATGGTTATATTAACTTATTTTGATGATAATAAATATATGCCAAATAAAATAATAAAAGGATTATTTTAGGTTTAGATTATTTAAGCCTCTTTCTTGTGTCCAGTCCTGATCATGAAGTCCCCTCCTCACTCTGCTCCACACCGGGCCCCTGCGCCCTGCAGCCCGCCGCTGAAGCCTCTGGTGGCTCAGTAGCTCCACCTAGTGCTCATATCCTTAACTTTTTTTTTATTGCAAACAAAAAACATACAAGAACAACATAGAACATTAATAATTACACACAGATACAACATCACAGGGCTTTACAGAATATATAGTAATTATTTGTCAATTTCAAAATCAAATCTGTTGAGGTTTGCAATTCTTAAAGGGCAGATATGATTTGAATTGCTTTAGCATTTCAGCCGAATTTTAATTATTCTATATGGATATTAAGAGAAGATAATAAAAGCTGGAAATTATTTTTTTGTTGTAAATATTTGGAGGTGTGAATATGATATTTACCGTAAATAATAAAGCTAAGAACATAAAAATTCTGTTTTGACAAGTTCACATAAAGCATCCTTATTCGTTAAAGTAATATTGAGATTTCTTTGATGTAAAAAAAATTACATATTTCTCCAGAATATTTTGGTATAATTAAAATCCCGTAAAAAGATAATTAAACTTTTCTTCCATTTTTTTTTTTTTTTTTACAAAAAGTCCACATTGGGTCCAAATCCCATTTATATTTTTTTATATATACTTTAACAGGATAAAGAAAATTAAATTTCATAAGAAATTAAATTAAATTAAATTTCATAAGAAATTTCACTTACTTCATTGTTTATTAAGTATTTTTTAAGGAGCAACTAATTCCACTTCCAATTTTTATTTTCAAAAATGCTGGACCAATAACACTGCTGGAAAAAAACATCTGGTAATAAAATGTTTATTACCTTTTGTTTGTTGTTTTCTTAGTTATAAAAAGACAATAATAATCAATATAATTTAAGTTTGGATTAAAACTTGGCACTGAGTGAATTTGATGTGTGGGTAAAGATGATAAAAAAGTTTAATGACCAACTGGGGATTCGTTAAAGACAACAGCATACTCTATAGAGGTATATTCTTAATTCTTCCCGATATATAACCAGATCATAAATGCAGAAATCTAAAACCTTTTTTTTTAATTCTGTACCGACAAACAATACCAGCAGAGCTTTGGTATCCTAAACCTTTCAGACACATTTGTCTATAAAAAGGTGAGCTGTATCAAACTTTTAGTGGGATATAAGAAGTGACAAATGTGCAATTTGTCTACAACGTTGAAGTGTTGCAAGCAGAATGAGCGCTTTTAGTTTGATAAAGACTCATCATCTCATCTGCAAAAACATTGGGTTTGAGCTTTTTCCCCAGTTTTCAGAGGTCAGTATCACCAAAGGGGGGGAGAGAATTAATCACGTTTAACCAGAAACAGGCAAAGTGTTTTGGAGTCTAACAGAAAAACCATATAAAGGTGTTGAAGCAGTTCATGCTTTTTTTTTATAATTCAAGTCATCAATTCAATTCAGTTGATTTCTATAGCTCCAATTCACATCATGTCATCTCAGGTCCCTTTCCAGTTCACCAGATCATCCAGTCAGATTGATTCAAAGTTTTTTATCTAAGGAAAACCAGCTGATTGCATCGACTCATTGACTCTTCAGCAATCCCTCACACTAAGCATGCTTGTAGCGACAGTGGAGAGGAAAAACTCCCTTTGAACAGGAAGAAACCTCCAGCAGAACCAGGCTCAGTGTGAGCGGCATCTGCTGAGGCCCACTGGGGTTCAAGGAGACAGAAGCAGACATAGAAAAAGAAGCATAGATACAAAAGGCAACTGTCAACCAGCTCCACAGGCGGCCCCGTCCAGGAAACACACAGCCAGGCAGACGAGCTCCGAGCCAGCTCCCATGTCAGAGGATGAAGAGAGCACATCCAGTTAGTCACAGTCAGAGAAACAGGACTACACTGGAAAACAGGCCAAGCTCCAACATCTAGAAACAAAGGTGTTGATGGCAGCAGCACAGCTGATGTTTCTCTCCAGGATGGAGTCACAGCCAAACAGGAACAGACCAGATGAAGCTACTATGAGAAAAAGCAGAGAGAGCAGAACGTTAGAGATTGAACTAACAGATTCTGCAGAGTGGGAGAATAGAAATAGAATGATGATGTCATGATGTCATCAGACAACACAGTTTGTCTTCCTTTACTGACCATGTAGCTACGGAGCTGCAGACCAGTCAGATGATGCTGAGGGAGGAACCTTTCCCTAATGTTAGGACCAGAATAATCTAGAAAAAAGCAAGGTGATAAGGTCAAAAGAAAATGCTACTATTTCTAGTAAACTGTTTGTTTTTTTGCAATTAATTTAGGAGAAATGCCATTAGCTGCACAGATTATCCACAAATATCAGAAAATGTACCAAAGCTTTTACTACAAAACAGATATATTTAATGTTTTTATTCTAAAACCTTAAAAAACAAACCTGGGTTCTTTAAAATGACATTTTTTCTTCAGTTGGTATTTCTTAAAAGCGATGTTGTCTTTTTCCATAGATGATGTAAAATTTACAACTCTAAAGGAGTTTTATTAGCATGGCCTAAGAGCAACAATGGCTCTTTGGGTTTTAAAGGTTTAGACCTCTGCTGTAGATCAAAACTGGTCTTTAAACAGTCAATGATATTCCATTAGTGTTCATTTAACTAAACTAACTGCTATGGGCTAGCTGACCAAAACTTAATTTTAACTGTTTATTTGATTAATTGAACTGTTCTTGAAGTAATACAAATTAAACCTGGTTTCATGTAAGTAAAAAAACCTTAGCAAAAAAAGCAAAGCATAAAGTAATTCTCTGTGACAGACAGT